GTGGTGCACCCTCGACCGCAACAAAGTAAGCAAATAAGGAAGCAAATCTCACCTTCCCGAACAAGACACATGTCATCACGCACTCCACTCTTGGCTAAGATAAGAAGACAAGGACACACAACGTCCTCTGGCCCAGTGCCACCATCGTCCACAAAACCAAGAACACACAACGTCCTCTGGCCCAGTACCATCGTCCTCCTCGGCCAAAACACAAAAGGCAACCACCAACGGCCAAAGAGAAGAAGCACCACCGTCATCGGCTACTCAAGTCAAAGACGCATATCGGCCACTCAGCCAGGACACTCATCATCCTCAAACGAACAAACGCACATCATCAGAGGAACAATGGCCCCCTTCGTCAAAAACGAAGGGCATACAACGGCCAAACATGAAGAATAACCACAGCGCCCCCTGCGTCGGCCAAAAACTTCAAGATTGCAGGAATCTACTCTCCCTCACTTCGTCTACATCTCAGCTAAGAGTGTGGGGGACTCCTGATGGAGTATATGGGTCTAGACCCCAGGACCCACATACTGAGAAGAATAAGAGGCACAGTTGTCACTCAGTGGGACCTCCGTCGGCCAGATGGTCCTCCATCGGCCAAAAATACATCAATTCAGAACATGATCCAGAAGTCAGGAGAACCAGGTGTCTCCGTCAGCCGGGTCTCCGTCGGCCGTGGCTCCGTCGGCCACAGAGAGCTCACAGAACCGGATTTCATACTTAGTCATTTCTACATACTTTGTACTCGCCCAGTAGTGGCCCAATTGTAAATGGGCCTCCCAAGCTCAAGACTTGGAAGCCAGCCCACATTTCCTCTATAAATACTCCCCTTGGGAGTAGTTGTAGGGGTTGGGAAATCATGTATTACAGCATATATTACACTTCTCTCTCTAGCTCTCACTTCTCTCTAGAATATATACTCTATCAAATAGTTATATAACTTATAATAATGATCACACTTGGACTGTAGGAGTAGTAATGGTAACAATAATAATAATAGTCTTAAACTTCTTATTGGTGTAATTGAATGTGTTAAGAGTTACCAAGATAAGATCTAAAGTAAAATGTTCATATAATAAATATTCAAATTAGAAAGATCCAGATTGAAAAATCACAAACATTAGACAAAATCAAAAAATCTATTTAGATCAGAAATATTAAGATCGAATCAGATCAGATCTTAAAATTTTTAAGATGAAACGTTTAGATTAAGCAATTGGACGCCTTGATTATTAAGTTAAGGATTTGGGGCGTCTAAACACATGTTATATTGAATTCAGCCCAAAGTTCTAAATTTCTGATCAAATTAGAATAAAATCGAGTGAAATGTGTCTACAAAATTTTACAATGTACAAATTGAAAAAGAAATCGAGTTAATATTGTCAAATGTCAACTGTCTTACCTAAATTTATTAATAGCTAATGCTTGTGTTTTAGTTACACAACTTTTTTTGGAAGAATGTATTGGGAACTTCTGTTGTCAAATGCAAAGACAATTGTTTTTGGTCTGAATTTGTAAGGTTGACTGAACATTTAATGTACTTTATATATAGTAAAACCATGTAAATAATTTCGATACACAAAACTAGTTTAAGAGTAGTCATCGAGTTGAATGTTAAATTCTTTTACGGTTGATCGAATGCCTAATTAATACATATTGCAGAGTAATATTTAGTGCACCCAAATATGAAAATCATCAATGAAACTAATTGTCGTATTATTCGTACAATCACACCTCACATTAGCCAGCTAAGATAGGCGCATGTAATCATAACATTCTCCCCTTGATCTACGCATGTAAGGCAAACATCATTAATCCATACATGTTGAAAGAGAACTATGTATTATGTCTTTAGATGTGTAATTAGTTGTTTTAGTTAAGATTTGATTGGTCGTCAACTCTAATAAATATTTACTTCTAAAGTTTTCGTTACCAATTTTTACTGTTGGTTGACCTTTACATGAAGGGTGTATATTTGACTTGATCACAAGGAATGACATGAGTTTAACAAGTGGGAGTGATTCAAATCTATTTATTGAACTGGGAATTAAGAGCGATTTTGTGTGTGAGGTAAATAGGTAATGTACAAATAATGAACCTAATGGATTATTCAGGTGACTTGAATTTACTTCTTTCAAGGGTTTGGACCTTTGGGTGGGCTCTTAGGAGCCTAGGATTAGTTAGTCTAGCTTAGTCGAGATCGCCTGGTGCTAACAAGAAGGGAATAACCCGAGTCTCTTGAAATAGCCTTGTCAAAAGGTTCATATCTTATAGTAGACAATTAGACATTCCTAGACGAAGCTATTTTCAAATTATTGAACAACATTTGATTATCGCAATCCTCAAACACTTCAGTCAAAATTCATACTTTGAAAATCTCAAAGCCCTAGACAAGACACACAATAGCGCTCATTGAACCATAAACTTAAATCATGCTAGCCATTATAAAAACCTGATATTACATTCCACAAGGTTAATCAGGAGAATTTTATTTCTGGATGTTACGAGTAACATTCCCATTAATGCTTCTTTCGAATAATGTATGCCCATAATATTCAGAGCAATACAAAGTTATCATCCTTTTTAGTAATACACTGTTGGGCATAATTGGTTATGGTCCTAGTGCTGCAAATAGGAATAGACATGAGCCGATTTAGGACTTCTGGCCCCCCTTAATATAGTATTGTAGACTTGTAGTGATCAGAACAAGTCCAGTTCCGGATCAATAGATCTGGATCAGATTCTGGTTTGATTCCTTTCCTATTCCTAGGGGTGGATTCGGTTCAGGCCACCCGGCCCGTGACCCGGCCCGGCCCGGTACTGTGCGGGCCCGGGACCGGCCCGGTCGGGCGGTCCGGGACCGGGTATGGGCCCGAAACGGTGGGAAGGGGCGGGACGGGCTCGGTGCTGGAATAATGTGACCCGGCCCGGCCGGGTCGGGCCCGGCCATGTCGGGCCCGGGCCCGGGTCCGGTCCTATTTTAAAAAAAAAATTAATCTTGGGCTACTAGCCGTTGGGGGTGGGGCTGGGGACAACCCAAACGGCTATATAGCCGTTGGGTGGGGTAAAGGGGGGGTCCGAGGGGGTTGGCTGGTAGGGGGGGGTGGGGGGGGTGGGGGGTAAAAAAACCTATAAATACCCCTAATCTTAAACATTTTTTCATATCTCTTCTCCAATTCTTCCTAAATCTTATTCTTAACTCTCTACTCTCTAATTCTCTTATTCTCCAATATATTATATATCTACTCTCTAATTCTCTTCTCCAAGAAGTTAAGATGGAAAATCAAAATGCCATTATACGGTATAATTTTGATAAGCAGAAGGACCCGAAGACCGGGATGTGGTACGCAATTTGCAAATGGTGCGAAAAAAAAATGTATCATGGGGGCTTCAGGCGGATTCGGGATGGCAATCAAGAATATGAAGTAGGGATGGATTCGGGTCGGGTCGGGCCCGGGCCGGGCCTGGGCCGGGTCCGGCCCGGGCCGGGCCTAGGCCCGGTCGGGCCGCCGGTTCAAGAAAAGTGGGCCCGGGACCGGCCCGAGGGTTGGACGGGTCCGGTTCGGGCCGGGCCACCCGCCCGGGTCACGGGTCGAGTCCGGTTCGGGCCGGGCCGGTTAATTTTTTTATATATATAATTTATATTTTATAGTTTATAGTTTTATACGAGTATTAAAAACAAACTTCAATTGCATTTATTTGAAATGAAATAGGAACTACATTTAAAAATTAAAACAAACTTTAAGAAATAAACATTTTGAAAATTGTAATCAATCGGAACTTCCTGCACCTCCCGATCCTTTGGCTTTGTCACATGACTTCATATGCTTGATTGTCATCCCGAATCCGCCTGAAGCCCCCATGATACATTTTTTTTCGCACCATTTGCAAATTGCGTACCACATCCCGGTCTTCGGGTCCTTCTGCTTATCAAAATTATACCGTATAATGGCATTTTGATTTTCCATCTTAACTTCTTGGAGAAGAGAATTAGAGAGTAGATATATAATATATTGGAGAATAAGAGAATTAGAGAGTAGAGAGTTAAGAATAAGATTTAGGAAGAATTGGAGAAGAGATATGAAAAAATGTTTAAGATTAGGAGTATTTATAGGTTTTTTTACCCCCCACCCCCCCCCCCCACCCCCACCCCCCCTACCAGCCAACCCCCCCCCCCCCCCCCCCCCGGACCCCCCCTTTACCCCACCCAACGGCTATATAGCCATTTGGGTTGTCCCCAGCCCCACCCCCAACGGCTAGTAAACCAAGATTAAAAAAAAAAAAATTAAAATAGGACCGGACCCGGGCCGGGTCACATTATTCCAGCACCGAGCCCGCCCCGCCCCTTCCCACCGGTTCGGGCCCATACCTGGTCCAGGACCGACCGACCGGGCCGGTCCCGGGCCAGCACAGTACCGGGCCGGGTGGCCCAAACCGAATCCACCCCTAATATGAAGTCATGTGACAAAGCCAAAGGATCGGGAGGTGCAGGAAGTTCCGATTGATTACAATTTTCAAAATGTTTCTCTCTTAAAGTTTGTTTTAATTTTCAAATGTAGTTCCTATTTCATTTCAAATAAATGCAATTGAAGTTTGTTTTTAATACTCGTATAAAACTATAAACTATAAAATATAAATTATATAAAAAAAAAATAACCGGCCCGGTCCGAACCGGACCCGACCCGTGACCCGGGCGGGTGGCCCGGCCCGAACCGGACCCGTCCAACCCTCGGGCCGGTCCCGGGCCCACTTTTCTTGAACCGGCGGCCCGACCGGGCCTAGGCCCGGGCCGGGCCCGACCCGGCCCGAATCCATCCCTACCTATTCCTAATAGATCAGTAATCTTTAAAAAATAAAATAAACGGCAGTAGTATTTTGTAGGAACCAGATTGGAAAATAAGCAATTACCAGTTTAATTCAGGTCCAATCAACAGGTTCAATTTCTGCTTAAAAGGGTTGGTGTCGACCATGAACCATGTTTGCGTCCATGACTAGCTGTAAAACTAAAGCCCTTTGATTTTCTTCAGTTTCTACAAGTTCAAATTCCTTTTATATTTGTCTTAGCCATACATTTAACCTCCTCAAAAAAAGTCAAAACCTCATATCAAATGACAGGGTATATATAATATATATGGTATCTAGTCATAAATTATCTATTAAACCATTCATTCAAAACAATGATCACATCACAACAATACCAAAAAGGGTGTTGTCATCTGCTTTTGGTGAGGGCCTGCCTAATCTTGTTGAGGCTGCACACTTGCTTTCTCTCGTGGAGGTATTGTAGCAGCAGGTTGTGCACTGCTTTCTTCTTGATTTTGTCGTGCGCAAGGCCTCCAAATTGTTTCATTATTACCAACATCCATTAACTCAATGCCCTTTAAGGCCAAATCTTTCCTTATCTGATCGCTTTTACTGTAGTCCCTCTCTTCCCTTGCTTTTGCTCTATCACCAATTGACTTCAGAATATCTTCCTCCGTCAATTCTGCTCTTTTCAGTGCTTTTTCTTTTAATTGCTGCAATACCTGTAAAAAAGGAACAAATATGTCAGGAGGATGTCATCATAAGTGGGTCCCGTACAACACAGCCCCACATGTGACAAGCACAATGGGTTCAGAGGGTTCACCTCACAATAGCTTAAACTGGATAGCAATCCCAGAACATCCAACACTGCCCTCACTTCTTTCTCCATGTCCATAATATCATCATACAAAAGTTGTTGTTCCTGTTGCTTCAACTGCTTCTGTGAATTCATTACTATTATTATTAGAGAAAATGACAAATATAGTACTACAATGAAAATAAATGACAAAATATGACTTTTAATAAGCAGTGACCATAGAGCTATATACCAGCGAGCGTAGAGACCTTACTAATGTTTAATTTTAAACCGTGAAAATGGTGGTATTTTTGCAGTGACTATAGGGACCATGTAGTCATTTTTTGTCCATAAGTTCAATTTTAGTTATATTATATGGAAAAGCCCAATTACCATAGAATATCCTCAATATGATGTCAGAAAAAAAAAAGTAACATTAAGAAGCAACACTTCTGGTTGTAACCTTCAGCGTGTTCCTATTCATGACTCTCAGGACTCCTTGAAGAGCAGCATTTAATATAGAAGGTGTGTGTAAATCATCAGAGAGTCTTGACTCAAACTCATTACGCAGATTTTCTATGCACTTTTTTGCATCAGATGAACGACGACGACCTGCTTTATTACCGCTGCTTGTATCAACACAATTTTGCATCTTTGAAGTGGCTTCTTTACAATCTTGTAAGGTCTAGATCACAAAATAAAAATCAAATGTCAAGAGGGAATCAATATAGAAAAGTGGGGATAGGATACACATATATGCTATCCCACTTTGACATAATCCAGGCTGTCAAAAGTATTTCCTTACCTGGTATATATAGAACACAGAATCTGAACCAATTTCTATCTGTGAAATCGCATAATTGACAGGAGAACGGTAGTGTGTCCCCATCAGGAAATATCTCAATGCAAGGGGATGGTAAAGCTTGGTAACCTTTCACAACGAGATGCATAACAATCCAAAATTACTGTGACCTTGATTAAGAAATAACTAAAGCAATAATACAAATCATGGCAAATATATGACTGAAATAAAAACAATGGACAAGACGTGCCTTTAACCCACAATAAATATAGTGATTGTAGACCAATAGTGATGTAAAATTTTACCCTAGTTACCATAGAGATCATGACGAATGTATCATCATCATTACCTCAGTGCCGCAAAGTCTCCCACCTACAGTGGGGTAAGGGGGGTCGGATGTATGCAGTCTTACCTTTGTACTAAAGCACAGAGAGACTGTTTCCAGTGACCCATGGTGAAAATCACCTCAAAAATTGCATGGACTGACTGCTACTTCATAACAAAGAAGAGCAGACAGTTTAGTGAGCCATTTTGCTTTATTCCATCATGACGAATATATGACAAACAAAAATAATGGACAAATTTGCCTTTTACGCGCTGTGAATATAGTGACTGTAGATATTAGGGCGATGTTCACTTTTACGCTATGGTGAACATGTTGATTTTTTAGCAGTGACTAAAGACAACATAGTCATACCCACTAGTTATATTTTAATAATCCTAGGGTAAAAATCCCTGTTAGAAAAAAACGAGGTTATAAATTCTTAATAAAATAACCACATAAATACCTCACGGATTGTGAAGAAATTTCCGACTGATTTTGACATTTTTTCATCGTTCGCAGTAACAAATCCATTGTGCATCCAATAATTCACTTTACTGTCAGGGCAAGCAGCACAGCTTTGAGCAATCTCATTTTCATGATGAGGAAATATCAAATCCATACCACCACCATGAATATCAAATGAGTGAGTCAAATAATGAGAACTCATAGCACTGCACTCTATATGCCACCCTGGCCTTCCAAGACCCCATGGGCTTTCCCAACTTGGTTCACCAGGCTTCGCTGCCTGAGAGAAGGGGAAACAATTTTAAAGCATATAAAATCAATAAAAGTAGCTACACTTGTGAAATCATAAAACCTCCACACCTTCCACAAGGCAAAGTCAGCTGGATTTCTCTTCCTAGAATCAACAGCAACTCGTTCACCAGCTCGGTTATCTTCTAGTTTCCGTCCAGATAATTTACCATACTCTGGAAAACTATCAACAGAGAAATACACATCACCATCAACTGGGTAAGCACAGCCATTGTTTATTATCTGCAAATGGCATTTTTATAGTTTGAGCATAGAAGCAAATCAGACATAAAGCACATACCATAAAAATTTAAGCTGCAATAGAAAACTATTTCATCTTTCCTTTCCCTTAATATACGCCAAAGATAAGTACATGAGAATATGCATGGAAAACAAGTCAAGGATTTCAAAGGACATAGCACTATTATTTGATCATCATCTTCAAAATTAATATATGGAAATAATAATTGCTGCCCAAATTTAACTACCATCATATCACACCCCAAATTAACATTGCTCAAAGCAAAACCAAAGAGATTAACTTTGCACATCAAAACAAGTTGAAAAGGTGTGCCTCATATTGCTGATAGAGTATATTACCTCATTGGCTAGAACAGAAACAACCCAAGTGCCAGACCCTCTAATAGCTTCATCATGGCAAAATTGCCAATCACAGAAAAATGAAAAACAACAAAACCAACGTGAGAGAAGAAGCACGTGAAAAGTAAGTTACCTGTCCTATCATTTCCTTTATTTGATCCATATGCTCTGTAACACGTGGCTGATGGGTGGGCATGAGGCAGTTGAGATCAACCATGTCATTAAGAAATTCTTGGCAAAACCGACCACTCAAACCTACTGGGTCCTCCCCAAGTTCATTCGCTCTCTTAATAATCTGATACAACAACATTCAAGTCTTAGCTTTGAAAGATTTTGGGGCCGACTAGTGTGTGCGTGTGTGTATATATATATAATAAAATTCTCCTTAATATATATATGGGGGGTTCAAATACAAAGAGACATTCCCATGCAAAGTGAGAATCAATTTTGTGCATTCAATTCTAGATCTATTGGCTCAAAATAAGCCAAAAATGCATTCCATTCAATTCTAGATAACTAAACCAAAGTTTTTTGTCAACGCGCAAAAGTGTGACAAAACATGAAATAATGCAACGCATTGAACGAAAGTGAAACCGTTCGCACTTTGCACGTGAGCATCACTTTTTATTTGGACTCTTCCCCACCATAAATATATATATATAAGAGAGAAAGGATTTTTATTAATACAAGCCAGAAAGGGTACAAAAGGGATGAAAAACATAACTGATAGCGAAGAGAACAAAAAATTACTAAAAATCACCGAACCCAAAGTTGTTTATCCCTAGAAAAACCCTGAGTGATCTAGTATGATGCGTGTTTGAAATCTAGTACAATGAGTCAGGGATACTGACTTATTTTGAGTGATAGAAAGGTTAAATACCTGAATACTGACGTACAACCTGATCGGGCCATTTACAAACTGAGGTTTTCGTAAAACTAAGCTTTCTCTCAAAACTAAGCGTTTTCGCAAAACTTGGTTTTTTGCAAACTCAACTTTTTTCGCAAAACTCAGCTTTAGCACACCTGATCTAGTCCACTCACTTTCTCATTTCAACGGCTAAGATTACTTCTCATTTTGCGCATGAGGAGTATTTTTTATTTGAACCTCTCTCTATATGTCCATGTAAGGTAGGCCTAAAAGTTACAATTTTAGGTCTCTTTCATTTGAGCTGCTTCCAGTTCGAATTTTTTAATGAAATTTGGTGAGCATGTTCTCCATGAAGTGTAGATTATGTCCGCCAAATTTCAAATTAAAATTCAATGGGGAAGTTAGTTAAATAAATTTTTGAAAATTGCACAGTTTTTCAGGCCTACAACAGTCGTTTTTTCCAATAATTTATTTAACTAACTTTCCAATTGAATTTTATTCTGAAATTTGGTGAACATAACCTAAACTTCATGGAGAACATGCTCACAAAATTTCATAAGTTCGACCCGGAAGCACCTCAAATGAAAGAGGCCTAAGAATTGTAACTTTTAGGCCTACCTTACATGAACATTACTATATATATATGGTACCTTTAAATTCAATATGGAAATTTTGAATCAGAAGTAACTTAATGTTTTATAAATAGCAACAATGACTGCTAAATGCTAATAGTGCTTAGCATTTAAGGGCTAGTAAAAACAAAGATAGGTTCCATTAAACCAAAAGAAAGAAGCAGATGTATTTCTTATGTATGGTATAAAGATTTTAAATGTGACTAATGCCAAACCAGAATCAAATCTAAAAACCAAATACTTCAGCAATGTTTCAAAAATAAACGTAATATCAACAAATGTTAAATGAGTAATAGCAAGATAAGCAGTTTAGTTTACACTTCTAGGAAAAATAAAACTGTTATTTGCAAACTGCAATGCCACTTAACTCAATTCTTTGATGAGTAGTACAACTAAAAAATATACAGATATCTTAGTTACTTACCATGGTGCAGCCAGGCTGCCAGGTTAACAATGCCATAAAGTCTAAATTACTATTTCGGTTAATAAGACCAAACAACTCAACTGTTGCATGCTTTAAACGTTTTAAATTTATATAACAGCACCACAACTCTGCTAAATCCCTAATACATTGCATTTTACATTTCATTTAACTATAAAAATAATAAGGCCATCATCTTCAGTCCCTGTGAGCATAAATGTATCTAGCGGAGCGGCCTACCCTAAAAACGCTATAGTAGATAGCGGGATGACCGCTATTTGGATAATTGGATAACTTTTATACAGAATACAAGACTATATGTATGCATTAATTACATGCAACACGCATATTAAATATCGCTTAAAATCCCAAACTTCATGACACTCATATTTGAATCTTTCAATATTCTAACTATTCCACTTCTAATCATGATTAAAGCTATCTAATGTAGAATTTAACAAGGCAGGCTCCACACTAAACAAGCTTCGAGGTTAGTGGTAGATGTCTAAGAAGAACTGAAAGTAGAAGAACAGTAGTAGTCGAAAGTAGTTGAAGAAGCAACTAGCAAGGTCTCTCTAGCTGTTGTCAAAGATTTTCTGGTTTGGTGTGTAATCTTTTTGAGCCACGACACTAGTTGTCGAAGAAGCAGAATAAAGATGACCAAGAACGATGCTTTAGAATGTTGGGGTGGGTTTTACGTACTTGGGAGGGTTTTAGTAAGGTTACTTTTTATTCTTAATGCCTACTTTACCCCATTCAAAAATTTCAAACCCAAAATTTCCTCAAAATTTTCTAGTCCTAGCGCAGACAACTCAGAAGTTCAATAGCGCACGCTATGTCCGCTACAGAGGCTCTAGCAGCGCCTCGATGCCGCTCTGCTCTGCTGTATGGTGCACCGCCTGACCGCCATAGTGCGCTATTGACTTCACTGGCCTATAGACCCAATACCATTACAGTCTCGATATCATTACGATCCGATCCGGTCCGGTCCAGTACCATGTCTCTACGGTACTTTGCACAGTGCACACCTCTTTGTATCACCAATGTGGCTGGAAAATTATAAGACACCTTAACCACTTTAACCTGTGTCATTTCTCAACAATTGGGGTACCAAATTGTTACATTAATAGGCTGAGGTACTAAAGCTTTAAAATTACTACTAATAAGGTCCCCACTTATGCAATTTAGCCACTAAAACATTTCTACTCTTCATCACCGGCCAATGCAATGAACACCGCTGTGAAAGAGTATCAGGAGATTCAGTGAGCCTATCAGCGATGAGATGTATGAAAGTTATCCCCTTGACCTTAGCCAAGCCTTGAACAAAAGTCCATGGATATGAATTCATCCATGCAAATATAGCTTTGGATAATAACAGATGAAGGAAGGAAGTCTGCTCTTCATCTCCGGCCAATAGAATTTGCAATGAAGTTGTTGTAAGTTCTTCTCCACTCCCTTACATGCCATACATTGAAAAAGCAAGAGTAATTTGGCAACATTGATGAAGAAGACAAATAGATCTTATGGCAGTAGAGAGTCAGACTGTCAGGGATGAAGAGGACATATAGACCTATTGCCAACTAGAAATCTGGCGAGATTTCCTGCCTCATTGAAATGCCACAACCTTGTAGCATAGATGATTATGCAGTTTTGTGCCAGATGTCATTAAACAGGTCTGTCAATGGGAATATTAATGCAGCTAATTTGGTGAGGGGCAAGCCCAGCGTGATAAGGCAGAAACCATTTTATTCAATCAGTTCAGTTTTTATTGCACTCGAAAGTTGAACCACATGAGTTTGCTACAATGCTGTTGGGGTGATGTGATTGGATGTTCATGAGGCAATCATAACAGGCAAATCTCATATGGTGTCCAGCAACCTTACAGCAGATAATCGATGTGGTTGACTGGTTGTACTAGACTACTAGTCTAATAAGCAATCATGTGATCATCTTTTTGTAACAGGGCATCAAGACCGCTGCATGAGGCGCCACACTCTACCATGGAGCCTTTCTCTTTGTTGGGAAAATTAAAGTATTATTAGAATGCCACACGCCTTCAGAACGACATAGCTAGAAAGGCTTAAATCTTAGTGAGGAAAAAATGGTGCTCCTAATGCAAAGGAAGAGAAGACAGCATGCTAACTATTGACAAGGGGTCAAATGGCCTGACCTTAAAGGCATGAAATGATATTAGCCTTACTAATGAAGAATCAGCTAGTGAAGGTTGCCTCATCGCATTATATTCTCTTGTGCGAATAAATCTCTTCTGTGTGGCCAAAAGACCAGTTATATTCACTTGCTAGAAAGTTTTTCATCACAGGTAAATGAAGGCCACCCACTTCATGAAAAAATCTGACACTTCTTGATGTTAAATACTAATTAAGGCAGGTCATTTATGAACACAACTATGCCATCACAAGTTCAAAATCTATAAAACTTTCAAATATCAACACTTCTAGATAAGTTGTTTTAGTGCGTAGATCTCAAGAAGAACAAGCATTATAATACATTTATTATTGTATATTCTACAGAGCAAATGCAAACTAAATCTTGGAATTTAAAACTAGCACACAACCATTACACGTTTAGAACATACTTCTGAGAGGAAAAGGCTTACCTTGTCATCAACATCAGTAAAATTACGCACGTAAAGAACCTCATATCCCAAGTATTTTAGATATCTGTGAATGTCCGGCATAAAAAGATCTTAAAACATGGTTGAATAAAGACAAGAGCATATATAGATGGATTTATATTCTTATACATAGACATTCAAAAATGTGCAAGGTCATCACAATACCTACTCAAGACAAATGTATCCAAATTATTGAATGTTTGGGTACGGAATCAATGCAAATATGTTAAGGAGTAGAATTTATATCAAAAAGAGCTTCATTCAGAGTAGAGCAAGCAACAAAAGAGAGTGAATTCGTATTAATAACTACTCCGTATTTTTTGTAGTTCTTTAGAATTTAATGATTCCTAATTTAGAAGAAAAAATACAAGTATATTTCTGGTTGTGCACTAATCCAGGTTTTCGTCCTATTTACTGTAGTTCCTTAAAATGAATGTCAAATAATGAGTGAGTATAGCAAAACGAGGTGAAACTAGACCTGTAAAGAATGTCGAAAGCTACATAGGCACGAGCATGACCAATGTGACTGAAATCGTAGGTTGTGACGCCGCAGACATACATTCCGGCCTTACCAGCTTCCTTCGGCTTGAACACTTCCTTCTGCTTTGTAATAGTGTTGTATAGTAGCAATTCTGGCTGCGTCTTCCCCATCTCCACGAGTTTCTTCGTGATACTATCTATTGTACAGTACCAGTTCTGCCAACAAACCTCAAACCCCTGACTGGAAAATTGAAACCGTCGCCCTGATTTAGAAATGATTCTTTTAACGTTCAAGTTTAGAATGGAAAGCAACGATTGTACGCAGACAATGTCGGAGGAGAAATCGGAAGAGGGGCGAGCTGACTGCGGAGACCGTAGGATGTTATTTTTGCCCGAGACCTCAGTTGCTCCGTTCTGGGCTGGAACTAGCGCATAGCCCAATAAAAAAGTCTTCAGACTTGGGAAGACCACCCAAAAAAGTTGGCCCAACTCACCAAAGGTTATTGAAGTGTTTGTGCTTGGTTCCTTTTTTAGAAGAAATTGTTTTAACGATTATGTCAACTAGTTATTAAAATAATAGGGATTGGAAAAGGAGTGATTTCTAAAGGAAAAAAATATTGTTTGATGAAAAGGTATCCTTTTATGTAATATTTCCTCCGTTTGTTAATGGTTGCAACGCTTTGAGTTTCACATTATTAACACATCTTACTTTGATCCCGATTATCTATTAGCATATATAATTATATTATTATCTATAAAAAATTATTAAATTTCTCTTAATGTGAGTTTCTAAAATATTAAATTTTTATAATCTTTATTACAGTTAAAATTGTGTGTTGACATATGTGAAAATCAAATTGTTGCAATTAAAAAGGTACAAATCTAGTATAAGAAGTGAAACTAAGGCTACGAATGTAAGGCTTAGACTTACTTCATATTTGGTTTGTGAAGAGTATGAAACTATGGTTTCAATCACTATGTTTGTCCCATACAATGGCTCGTGTCCATTATTCACAAGTCAACGTGATTCCTTCTTAATCTTTTACTTAATGTATCTTTTTTCTTCAATTTAGAGTTATCCTTTTGCGTCTTCATAAAACTTTTAATGTTGTTTCTAAATATGTAAATTTTATTTACTAAAAATAATCTCATTACAAATAGGAATCAATAAACTTTATAGTCAGACAAACATCATAAACTGTGTGGAAACCTTAGTACGGAATAGAGGGAGTATTTAATTTTAGATACTAATTTCAAACAAATCTAGTCACTACTTGGGACTAGTTGCTAAACGGTTGACACCTCATACATCTTGTTCAATCCATTACATTGTGTTCCTTCTAGTCACTGACACGTATTAGTTACTTCATACAGTTAAATTACGTGGAATTCTGCATAGTTATCACTGTAATTATTTTTACTTTTCCACTTCCATATCATGTAGTCCACCATTCAACTTCACCTATTTGGGAACATTTGGAGCAACAAAGTGGAAGATAAGTACATAAAAAGGACGAATGTTTATTGGAAAAGAAAGAAAAATGTTTTACGAGGACGAAGGAAGATGGAGATGATAATTTCCAAGTTGGAGTGTTTGATAAACGAACGGATAGGTAGGACAGAAAAATGGGAGAAAACAACCTTCAAATGGTTACTTTTCAAATGGTTAGCATTTTCAATATTACCTCCGTCCCGTTATGACTGTCCCATTTTACCTTATCGGTCCATCCCACTAAGATTGTCCCATACCAAATTTGTCAAAGTTTGTGTGGGTCTAAATGATTCTTACTTTATTCTTACTTTATCAATTCAATATCAATCACATAAATCACTTTTTATTAATTTGTGTGTCACTCCCTCTTGCTCCATTGTTAGCGGGACGGAGGGAGTAATATACTACCTCGTAACATGTATATCTTCCCATTTAAAAGTAGTTGAGATTATGAGTAGTGAAATGAGATATAAATTATTGAGGGGAATGATGGAAAGATAATGAAATTGTGTGCTGGAATGAAAGATAAATCCAAAAAAAGTACTCCCTGCATCCCATATTTATCTCCTGAATTACAATTGGCACACAGTTTAAAATAGTGGCTATTGCGTGGTAGAGAGAAACGTATAAGAATCTGTAAGAAATGTTGTGAACCACAAATTCTTTTCCAAAATGAAAAGAAGAGATAATTTTGGAACGAACGAAAAAAAAAAGTATGAAGATAATTTTGGGTCTGAGGGAGTAGTTGTAATAGTGTGTTATTTTCAAAATTATTGAGGGTATGATGGAGAGATTTAGAAATGGGAAGATAAGAATATTACGATTGAAAAAGGAAAGTAGGAAGATGTGAATGTTACGAAGGGAGTAGGTGTCATTTTAAGAAACAACAGCTCTTATATCTTACACTCCATCCGGTTCCTAATTAACTTGACACTTTGACTTCACACATGTTAAGAAATTTTACTGTAGAGTACATTGTTGTGACACTGTTTGACACCTTTTTGCATTGTTTTGGCACTGTTTTGCACTGTTTTGGTGTAGATTTGTTTGCCAAATAAGAAATTGTAAACTTGGTTGGGACATTCAAAAAAGGAAAATGTAAACTTAAATAAGAATCGGGTGAAGTATATATAATATGAACTCTGTAGTAAATGTAACACGACCAACCCTTATTTTTTTACCACTGGAGGGTTGGGGTAAGGAGGCTAGGGCATGGGGTAAACTGGGATGAAACTCACTTCATTGAGTATTGAACACGAAATCTCCTCTAAGGGAGAGTGAGTTGGCGACCATCCAGTTGGGCTGGACCGCTTCCTCGTAACATAACCAACCCTTTTAATTGGTCATTGTTGAGAGATTTATTATAATTTTAGGGTGGGAAAACGTGTTCCAAAACCCAAAAATCTTGTTTTAAAAAGATTTTAAAACTTTATTAAAAAGATTTTAAAACCAAATCATAATATAAAAATTGTTGGTCGTATTGGGGATCAACATCACCTTTAATCAAGGCTTGACTGTCCAATCTGTTGGCACCAAGATGTGGTTCAGCCCCTCACGTCCATCCACCGCTAAGTAGTAGAGCTCTGCACTGCCGTAGTGAACTGTAAGGGGTGCCCCCACATGAATCTACTTTGACTTGTAGACTACAGAGTAGTGTGTTAAATAACTAGTGTCAACCTCCTTATAATCAATTGGTTTTAAGAAAGATATGATTGTTATTTAATCACAGAACTCTACAGTTAAGCGAGTCTGGAGTAACAAACCCCAATGATGGGTGGCCCACTAGGAAGTTTGTTGATGGAGTATATGGCCCGGGAACCCCCGGCCCACAGACTCCCACTACTCCAGTAAAGGCCCAACAGGCCCAGAAGGTCCAACAGGCCCAAATCATGGCGCCCGGAGTACCAAGCAGCCCACAGCGCACCAGGGGTGCCTTCGACCCCCTGGCCGAAGGCTCTAAAACTCTCACAAAACGGGTTTCTCAAGCAAACTAAGAAACTGGGAGAAAACGGCGAGAACAGTAGCCCTCGGCACCAGGAGCCCTCGGCACCAGGGTGCCCTCGGTTTGAGGAGCCCTCGGCTACTGCTCTATAGCCGAAGGCATCTCACTCGACAAGATCTCCTCTTCACGCGCGTACAGATCACCGTACCCTATGCAACGTCCCATCCAACAGCCGCATTAAATGCGGCCACATGCGTTTGCCAGCGCCAACCGAATGAGGTGACCTCTCGGCCAATGGATGCTTGACACGTGTCCATGTCCGGCATTTATTGCTACTATAAATAGCCCCCCCATTTCCCCATTTGTGACCACGACATTCAGACTGAATACACTCTCTCTCTTACTTACTTGTGCTCTGACTTCTCTCTAAGTTATTCTCAGCAATAACCCTTCGGATATATACCCCCGGGTAGACTATCCATCATTTGGTGCTCTTGTTGAGAGGTCGAACAATCGAGTAAGAAACCCCCCCCCCCCCTCGCCAAACACTAGCCCTCTACCAAAATGGTGAGAACACCCTAGAAACCTTCCCCTTCGAGAGAGGAATCCAACGGTGAAAGAATCGTAGAAAACGGTCGTGAAACGAGAGAGATATCGCTCGCCGGAGTTGCAAGTTGTGGAAGCGGGTCTTTATAAAAAGCAGATATTTTGCCGTAGATAGGGGTGGAGGAGCTTCGTCTCGCCGCAAGGATCATTTTGCAACTTGAATCGTCGAAATCCGTTATCTGTAAGTCAAGTTATAGCTCACCGGAGTTTTCTAGTTTCCGGCGAAGTCGCCGGAATCACGACCTGGAGAAGATGACCCAGTTGTCTGGGTCAGAACTCTTGGGCCGGGTCGGTTTAATGGGCCAGTTCGGCCCAGTTTTAATAAAAAATAAAAATAAAATAGTAAATCAAATAAATAAAATCTGGAAAAATATAAATTCAATACCTAGTATAAATATACATATTCGGACCAACCAGAATTGAAAAATAATATTTTTAGCTATTTTTAATTGATTTAATTGTAATTGGGCCAATTTGTACACATTTAGAAAATAATTAACTAATTGACGAAAATAATTATGAAATAAATATTGGAGTAAACTAGGATAAATATATGACTAACTAGGACCTTATGGACCATTTATAATTAATAAATATTAAGATTTAGTATATTTAATTGTAATTGAACCGGTTAATAGATATATGAAATTCAATGAATAATTATGGAAATAATTATAAAATAGATATCTGGACAACCTAGGTCAAATATAGACCCAAATTATAGTTATAGACGGTTATTAATTTATAAAGTCGATTCTTAGTCTATTTATTTAAATTAGGCCATATAAAACTAGTTAAGTAATTAAATAAGGAAATATTAATATTAATGGTGAAATAAATAAATCACTGAGATTGAAAAATAATATTCTGGACTAAAAATGATGTTGGAATAAAATAAGGAAAATAAAATAAGGATGGGTTAGCTAGCATAAATAATTGACTATATGTAGACTTAATAAATAACTTAGTTATGTAATTAGTGGACTAACTCAATTAATAATTTTTATGATTAATTATTAGATATTCGGACTTCATATAAATATTTAAAATATTTGAATTCATAAATTAATGGGTTAATATAAATAAAGTAATTAGATAATAATTTATGAGTAGAGTAAATTAATGGTGATTATTGAATAAAAAATTAGGTGTTGTAGTTAATTATATTCGGACATTTTATTTCAAATATTGTAAATTAATGGATGAGATTAATAAGGTAATTTTATTAATAGAAAGTGAGTAATCAAATAAATTCGGATAACTAATAAATTAAGTTAATAAATTCGAATAATAAAATAAAAGGAGAAAATCGGGTAAAGTAATTACCAATAGAATAAGTGACTAATTATATCATATTAATAAGGTGATTATCTAGAGACCGGATTAGAGGAGGATAACTAGGAGCATCA